AGCACGATGCAGCACTTCCTTCCCCTAAAGTTTCTGGCGAGTTACTGCACTTCCTTCCAAACTATTTCCGGAGCTCTTCATTTAGAAGTTGAACGTCTGGGTATGACCGGGTCTTCCGCAGCGCTTGCAGGCTGGTCTGTACCCACTCCTTTGTCTGTTTTTTCGCAGAGTTCCCCTGCGGGTAGTTGTTGTGGCAACGAATTTTCAGCGCCGATGTCCGTTTCACTCTCCATTGAATGAGTGACGGAGGCTTCTTGCTGTCCTTCGCGAAGTCGGACTTAGTCGACATGTCATCGCTGTTCCCTTTTTTCGTATGAACGGTGAGCAGCTGACCCCTGCTGACAGCCGTCACAGTACCAAGCAGCCATCTCTGTCCACTTTGGTTATACAATCGTGCTTCTTTGACAGTGCGCACTTCTGGGTCTGCTGCCCCGTTTGGCTGTGGATAATAAGGGGCAGTTGTCACATAGCAGACATGGCAGACATGGTTATCCCGAAATAATGTGTCAACACACTGGTGAATTGCGGACAATTATTGGACACAACTGTGTGTTGCAGGCCGAAACGAGCGAGAATAGTCTGAAGGACATCCACTGTGGTATCAGCCATCACTGTTTTGAGTGGGAGTGCCTCTATTCATTTCGTACATGTGACCACCAGCACAAGAATCATGTGACCTTCCATCCGAGCAGCAAAGTCGACATGCAGCCGAGACCAGCGCTTGTCAGTTTCAGGCCAACTTGAGGGAACCTAAGGTGCAGGTAGTGGCAGAGACTGCACACATTGTGGACAACTTTTTACCAGACTCTCTATATTGTGGTCTAGAGCAGCATACAAAAACAAGGCGCATGCGAGGTTCTTAATTGCCGTGACACCCTGATGGCTTTCGTGCAATTCTTCCAACATGAAAGAACATGCTCTCTCCAACAGAATGACACAGTGTCCCCAGTGAACTAATTCATTGCTTACTGTCAGCTTATCCCTACGAGTGAAGAAAGGTCGAGAACACTGTTGTCCGGCACTCAGTTCTCATGGCGAGTCCCACAGAATCTAAGTCATTACTTGATGAAGCACCCTAACATCAGCGCTGTTCTCTTCTAGCTTCTGGGGTCCCAGGGAGACTCGTTTAATGATTGCGCGTGCAGCACGTACTCTACCAAGAAGTTTTCTCCAGTGCTTTTTCGCTAGGCTTAGGTGAGCGGCTCAACGCAACGACGTTACTATTCAGCTGTCCATTCCGATATTCCAATTCATAGTGATACGCTGACAAGAGTAACGCCCAGCGTTGGATCCTTGCCGCTGTAATTTGTGGAATAGGCTTGTTCTGATAAAAAAGCCTGGTCAACGGCTTGTGATCAGTAACCAGCATGAACCGGTTGCCAAAAACATAATCTAGAAACTTCATCACACTGAAAACCAAGGCAAGCCCTTCCTTCTACAACTGCGAGTTGTTTTCCTCTGCTGCTGTCAATGTTCACGATCAAAAACCTTTGGGGTAATCTTTGTTGCTTGTGCGATGAGACAGCACGGCAACCAAGGCATACATGGAAGCGTCACATTCGGGCCGAAGTGGTTTACAAGGATCATAATTAATTAGAAAGGTTGAATTTTTCATGGCCTTCTTAACTTTTTAAAATGCACTTTCTTGTACATGTGCCCATTTTAAGGCAACTCCCTTCATCAGCAATGCATACAGTGGAGCTAGCATTTTGGAGAGTTTGGGCAAGAATTTGGAGTAATGCGTGATTAAGCCAAGAAAATATTTAAACGGGCTTGCCGAGGATGGCACCGGTGCACCTAGTATGGCGGCGAGATCGTCTTGCAAAGGATACAGGCCTGTTTCGTTGATGCGGTGGCCCATAAATGTTACTTGCTGTGCTAAGAATCTGCATTTGGTTTTGTTCAGCTTCAGGCCACTGTCCTTCAACTGTTGGAAAACTTGTCGCAATACCGACATATCTTGCTTCTTTTCCGTGACAATGATGCAATCGAGTTAGACTTTCCCACCTGGCAGGCTGTGCAGGACTGATTTCATGCTCTGTTTTAACAAAGCTGGGGCACAGTCAATTCTAAAAGCGAGGCAGTGTAACAGTAAAGTCCCCTATGCATGTTAGGTACTGCGATTTTTTTTAGTATTTCATCGTCTAGAGGAAGCTGGTTGTTTGCATTACGTAGGTTCAACGTACTAAAGACATCACCTCTAGCCAGCGCTGCGAAGAAATCGTCAACATTTGGCAGACGATACTGTTCCATGTAGGTGTCGTATTCACCGTTAACTTAAGTCTCCGCAGAGTTTTATGTCGCTGTTCTTTTTCGCTACGGGAGCTACCGGCGTTGCCCATTCAGAGATGCTGATCTGGGAAAGCACTCCTTCCACCAGGTGATCAATCTCTGCTGAGACTTGGGAACGCATTGCAGAAGGCATGGTCCGTACTTTGCAACAAAGAGGCCGAGCGCCTTACTTGATGTACATTTTAACGAGAGACCCTTCACAGCAACCTAGTTTGTTGTCAAACAGCTGCGAAAATTCTTCAAGTAGGGCTTTAACTGCACATTCTTTGGAACAAAGTTTACGCACGCAGCACTTTGGCATCCAAAAGAGACATGCCTGCCTTGCAAAATTTCTATCATGCGTCGGCCGCAAAGCAGTGTTCTTGGACAGCCCACCATCACTAACATACTGGTTACGGTTACAGTCCCAGACTTCACCTCCATGGTTTCCTTGCCCATGATGAGCATGGTTGCAGGAGAGCATGACAGGCGCGGGCAGTTTTTGTGAGAGCTGGCCACCGCATTCTATGTATGTCGTAAGTTCTCATTGGAATCGCACTCCCCGTTGAGCCAGTGTCTATTATCATGATCAGTCTCTGCCCTACCCGTGTCAAAACCTTTGTGGGAGGCCGCGAGACGTCCCTGTCAGTTGCACTGTGGGCCACCTAGGAAAGCATAAATTCTTCGCTCTCACTTACATTTTCCTCCACGAGATATGCACCTGATGTCCGGGAATGACTCATGTGGCATACCCTGGGCAAGTGACCTTTTCTCTCGCACTGGCGGCACTTGCTGTTTCCATGTCAGCACTCGTTCGATTCATGTGGCCAGTCAAAACTTTCAAACCATGGGTGACTATTTTCCAGGTTGCTACTCGGTGGCCGGGACTCACGTCGTCGTATTCGCTGCAAAATGTTCATGGTACCACTTCCGTTGCCCACGCCAGTCTCATTCATGCCATGGACATCTTTCTGCGTCTTCTCAGAAACCCTGGCGAAGTCCTCGGCCTCTTCAAAGGCAAGCTTACCTCGCGTCAACAAAGAACGCCGTGCGTCATCGCCCCAGATATTGCAAACGCTGCGATCTCGTAACATACGGTCCATTGTTCTACTAAAGTTGCAGCTTTCGGCTAGCCTCCAGAGTTTCGTGATCAAATCTCACACACTCTCGCCTTCCTTTTGCTTCCGCATGAAAAACACGTAACAGGTTGCTATATCATTAGCTTGCCGGGTGTGCTGATGTTCCATACATTCCACAACCTGGTCGAAACTTAAAGGTACTCTAAATCAAAAAACAATTTACGTCATATTGAAAGCTCAATGTATGACATGTAAAACGACAATATTATCAACAACAGTGCCCTACTTACCGAGAAGTTAAGGTAAATGCACAAGAGCACAAGCGCCGCAGTCGGACTATTTCGAAATAATCCCGATAACATCACACGGACTACCTACAATTAATCACTAGTAGTCCGTCGAACTGCACTAAATAAACAACCTTCCGTGCACCAAGAGACACAATAAAATGCTGCTTGTTCGTTTCTGTTTGATTCACGGAAAAAAGAACCACAGGACCTTACTATGGGGAATGGCGCGAGTGATTGAAAACTCAGTTTTCGCGTGGTTACACAGGACAGGTAGTGCCTTCTAGCGGGGCGCAGTTGAAACGAAAGCATCTGAAATCTCGGAGTACAATAAAACAAAAGAAAAAAAACAGGAAAAGTGCAATAGGGTTTCAAAGCCAGACATTAAAAATAGCAAAAAAAGAATAAGGGGCACTGCAACCTGGCACAAACGACAAAAATTATACCCAAAAGAAGGAAGACGACGACGTTGTTGTTGTCGGTAGAATGCTCGAGCTACCCGCTTGTTTTGTAATACTGTACGCTCTGCGCAGCGTTAGCTGCCAACAAATAAATCTTGCTCATAACAATATGGTGAATATGTAGCATTTTGGTAAAGGCCCTTAAGCTAATTAAGTGACCACAAAAGAACCAATCCTTTGCCATGATGTAGTTTACATCAGCTATCAAGATATTCTCCTGATGATGTGCCATGCTTCACTATACCCCTTTGCTGTTGTAGAGTAGTATACTAGTTTTTGAGAGTGGTTGATAACACTCATTTACATCCCCCTACTTTTGCTTTCTTCCAACGGACTCATGTCATGCGATGCCGAGTTTGCCATACATCAACAAAATCAACTTACATATATGCTAGAGGATAATATTCATATCAGGATATGACATTCATGTTCACCATACGCTAATAAATGTTATGCCTTGCCACTCCCTTCCCTCCACTCGCACCCCTTCGCTCGGCGAAAGACGACCGAGGCTTCTGCTCTCTGTTTAAGTACCCGTCGAGTTCAGGCCTCACGCGATCTTATCGCATGCGCCTTTCGTTTGACGGAGATGACCGGCTCGTCTCATTGCCGCCTCAGCCGTGTTCGTCCCCAGCGTTTTCAAACTTTAACCCCCGTATTCTAGAATGTCTCTTTACTCAACGCTTCACCTTCACTTGAGAAAGCCGATGGGAGCGCCGTCTCTAGGCACAGCAAGTCACTGCATATCAGCAATAATCTGCTGCGATTCTAGTAGCGCAGCGTCATTTTCAGCCCAGCGGTGGCGCAGTGCTCAACTCTGTCAAGAGAAGGGTGGAAGTCGAGTCGAAGAGCGTTTGTGAATACGGGGGTTAGTCACGTGTCAAGGATAAGATGTGCGGTTCAATGGTATCTATTTTCACTTTATCCGAAACAAGGCCGGGATCGTGTTACCCCCTCAGAAAATGCCTACATAATTTTATTGCAATAAACTGGTACACCCACTGGGTGGTTTCATGCACTAAGTGCTCTTTTGTTTACAACAAGAAGCAAAAACAATCCAGGATGAAGCTTGAGGTGAAGTGACCAACAGCGGAAACATTGAAAAGCACTTCCGGTGTTTTCGAGGTCTGTCGTGTTTCCCTCGTGCACTGCCGCTAATTTACGCAGACTAAGCACCATCTCCTTTAAAATTGCGGTGGTGAACAAGAATGCGTCAAGCAGTGGCTCTTCGTCAAGACAAAGTCTTCGCACAGCTCCTTGATATCAGCACACCCTAGAATGCAAATATAAAAAAGAAAACACATTTTGTTGTGGCAGGTGAACAAACTTGATCATTACGCTATGTGTACACGTGCCTATGGGGTCCATATTCAGAATGAAAGTAATTTTACAAAAAATCAGGTTAGCTTATACTCATTTACCTACATTGAACCTATATTTAGTTAAATCTATATTTCTAAAGTTAACCCATGTGCGCTGCATCCTTCTGCCATTACCTTTTCCAACCAGAAGGCTTTTTTTTTAGTCCTTGACCTGAATAAGGTTGCTTAGGCCATGATGAGTAAGGTGGCGAAGCAAATATGAACAATATTTCAGCTAAATGTGACTCATTAGACATGGCCGTTCGTCTTGCATATAATATTTTCTATTCACATCGTGGTCAGCCTATACTTGATGCCGAAGATTAGATGCGCTCACCCGCTGCTGAGACGCCGGCGTCATATAATATATTAGAGGCCGAGTGTTATTGGCTCGTGCAAGCGACGACTTTATCAGGGCCTTGAGAAAGGGGGGGAGGGGAGTGACACCCCCCAGACAAGAAGTGTTATATAACACTCAATTATACACGATCGTAAACTAGGTGTGAAAATTTTGCGTACGTGCATTGACTTTATTTATTTATTTATTTATTTATTTATTTATTTATTTATTTATTTATTTATTATATACAATGTGTGTCGTTAATAAAGTGAGAAAAAAGGGGAACAGCTCACCCAGGAGTTGCATGGTGCGCTCCAGTTCTTCTCTAAGTATCTGCAACATTCTGTCTACACCTTGCTTGCCCTACGAGGAACATAGCGTTGCGTCACAAACACAGAAGAAAAATTAATTCTCAATTCGATTGCAAACGTGAAGGAAATGTGTAACGTTTGGGGTGGTGCACATGAGGGTTCAAAGAAAAGCTGCTGCGTAAGGGTGATAATAACGCTTCTTGTAATGATAGAAGCTTGTTCATTGCCTGTGTTTGAACCACAAGAGATTGAGAGTGAACTGTCACCATTGGTAAAAAAAGTAAAAGTTTTGCCTAAAGGGCGAAGCAATCAATGTGGTAGTGACAAATGGGATTGTCGCCCTAAAAGCGGCAACCAAATCTTAACGTGCAGCACGCTGTTCAGGGAGAAAGAACGCATTATAAGAACACACAGAAGATGAGCGCAAGCTAAGAACGTTCACAACACACACCAATTACGCTGCTCAAATTCAAAGAAGGCACGAAACGTATACGCACAGACACAAACAGGATGAGGGTGCACAAAGTACTGTCACAGTTGTTACATCGGTGCATTTGAAAACCGCACTCTTTTCGCGAACAGAAGTGACCTTCGTGCAATCGATCTGCTGAAAGCTCAAGAGGTACAATTCTCTGCCACCGCGAGATGAGCGTTCCCGCAATGCATGGGGTGACCACGCACCGAAAGGCAAAGTACATGAGCGGGACACCAAGTGCACTATTAGCGTCATCTCGCTTGAAAAGCTGTGAATACGCTGATACTCTCCCGAGATCGGCATAAATGGTGCATGCAATTAACTCGCCGCGACAATGGCGCAGAACATGTCCTCTTGTGACTGAGTGGCCAACGCCGGACGCTGCAAAATGAGAGGCCACTAATTCGATTCCGTGTGTCGGAAAATACTTTTCTTCGAGGCTTTCGTGGTTTAGTGTATATATATATATATATATATATATATATATATATATATATATATATATATATATATATATATATATATATATATATATATATATATATATATATATATATATATATATATATATATATATATATATATATATATAATATATATATATATATATATATATATATATATATATATATATATATATATATATATATATATATATATATATATATATATATATATATAAAAGTAGATGCGCTTTCACATAACAACTTGTTTATTCAGCTTACCTTTCGATGGGAACACCGTCTTTTTCAAGGCATAATACTAATTACACATTTTCGTGCCTTCTTATAGCTTCTCAAGACAGGTGGGAAGGGGACAGAAGAAAAATATTAATAATAACAAAAAAGAAGAAAACAGAAAAAAAGGAAGAAATTAAGTAAAAGGGGCAAACAACAAAGGCAAACATAAACGAGCTATGTCATCTTTGTCAACAGTACCTCCAGAGCCCCCACCCTTCTCCCAAGTAGACATTCTGACCACCGTTTCTCTATTTACCCCTCCGGTGCAATCCACTGGCAACTTGCCCTTTTTTGAAGTTTACGACAAATCGGTGGGAGAGCTTAAGCGCTTCAAGTGGATGTTGTGTCATTAGAAGTTATGAAAGAGCAGGTGATTGTGGGTACCTCGATGCTACCTCAATTACGTAGTTGTCTTTTCCACCAAATTCGACACCCATATAAATCATATTGAGCACGTCCTCACATGCCTCATCGACGCCGGCCTTCAACTCAACCTCAAGAAGTGTCCTTTTGGTGCCCGGCCGCTCACCGTTCTTGTCCATGTCGTATACTTCCCGACCCCACCGAGCTTCCCGACCCCATACTTCCCGACCCCACCGAGCTTCGAGCAGTCGCCGATTTTCCGAAGCCAAAGAACTTAAATGAGCTTAGAAGTTTTGTCGCCTTGTCATCATACTTTCGACACTTTATTCGAAATTTAGCTTCCATATGTGCGCTCCTTACGGACAACCTTAGCGGCGACAAGGGCCTTTCCACCTGGTCACCATCATGCGACGAGGTGTTCAATAAATTACGCCGCCTGCTAACTTCACCACCCATCCTCCGCCACTACGATGTTCATAATTATGCCAGCCGTGTTGCACTTGGCGCTATGCTCACGCAACGAAAGTCAGGATTTGATGAATATGTCTTCACCTACGCAAGCCAAACTCTGACGAAAGCCGAAGCTAACTAATCCGTGACCGAGAAAGAGTGTTTAGCTATTATTTGGATCCTTGGAAAATTTCGCCCCCTACCTGTACGGTCATGCATTAAACGTCGTCACTGACCACCACGCCCTTTGTTGGCTATCCACACTTAAAGACCCTTTCGGACGACTTGCTCACTCGGTGCTCAAATTGCAGGAGTACGACATCCGCGTTATTTACAGATCTGGTCGTAAGCACACGGACGCCAACGCGCTTTCTCTCTCACTCATACCGGATGAAGGTGTTTGCCTCTTTTCCCTCGAGCCTGCACTTGCGTCATCCGCATTGCGCAACATGACGGTGGAACAACGAAAGGATCCCTGGATCAGTAGGCTCATAAGCATTCTTTCTGATTCTCTTTTTCTTCGTCGTCTCGCGCTCTCCACCGCCAGGCTAGCAACTTATGCCTCAATGATGAACTTCTTTACCGACACAACTACCTTTCTGATGGTTGCAAGTGTCTCCTTGTGATGCTCCGCCATCTAGCGTCTCTCATAATCATATAGTGGTTTTGGGACGTTAAACCCCACATATCAATCAATGATAGTCCGCCATCTTCGAGCTGTTATCTGCGAAGCTTTTCACGCTGACCCACAGTGCGCCCACGCAGGCCTCTTCAAGACATACGCTAGGCTTCGACTGAGATTTTATTGGCGTGGCATGTATAACTACGTGCGGAAATTCATCCGCTCGTGTGCTCAGTAAAAACGACGAAAGTTACCTCCCAGGCAAGTCTACTCGTCACAACCACTTCCTTGTCCTAGTCGGCCTTTTGATCGCGTTGGCATTGACGTTTACGGACCACTACCATCAACTCTAGCCGGTAATCGCTGGATTATTGTTTCGATAGACCATCTGACACGCTATGCAGAAACAACCGCGCTGCCGACTTCCACAGCCCGTGAAGTTGGAATATTTCTGTTGCAATGTTTCGTATTGCACCTTAGTGCCCCTCGCGAGCTCTTAAGTGACAGAGGCCGTGCCTTCCTTTCTGACACCTTGAAGGCATCACTCAATGAATGCCGAATCGTGCAACACACAAGTACAGCGTACCACCCTCAAACGAATGGCATGATGAAGTGCTTCAACCATACTCTTGGCAATATGCTGTCGATGTATGTCGCCTCTGATCATTCAAACTGCAACCAAGTTCTCCCGTTCGTCACCTACGCGTATAATACTACCGTACAAGCTACTACCGGGTTTTCGCGAAACTTTCTTCTATACGGACGAGAACCTTCGAATACAGTAGACACTATTCTTTCATATAAACCTGATGAGTCCGAAAGCGCAACTCTGTCCGAAGCTGCCCGACATGCTGAAGAATGCCGCCAGCTTGCCCGCTCTTTTTCCACCGAGGACCAGTGGCATCAGCAATCCCGCCGGCCTGGGGACCGCTCGGCTCCAAACTTTCCACCTTGTTCATTGGTATGGCTTCGGGCACCTGCTACTGCATCTGGCCGCCCCCCACAAAACTTCTTCGCGAATACCTCTGGCCATACCGCGTTCCACAACAAACGTCACTCGTCAAATATATGGTGGAGCCCATCATCCCATCCACAGACCTACGCTACCATGGCCGCGACACTGTCCACGGCTATCGCCTCAAGCCATACTATGACCCATTAGTCGTTTCTTCTCCTTCATCCGCCAGAATGGCGCCTTTTTCAGCGGAGGGCGATTCTAGTGAAGAAAACAGGCTTCAGCGGCATCTCTCGGCGCCTCAGGGGCATCGCCATTAGCATAAGCTCGTGCTTGCTGCGCTTGGCCGGACGCTGCTGACTGCTTCGCCTTCTGCGTTCTGGCGTTCTGCTCTGCAAATAAAGCCCGTTACAATATATATATATATATATATATATATATATATATATATATATATATATACCTTCTGGCTATCGTAACACAAATGATAAACTTAAAACTTGGTAGTAGTAAAACAAAAGACACAACACCAAAAACCAATATTTATTTTATCCTTACAGTTCGGTGGTTTTTTTTAATAATTGTGTAAAATAAGTGGATGGTGCCAATGCGTGACACTGGCTTCCCCTCTTGCAAAAAAGTCGACATCGCATAATTGGTAGCAAAAAGAAGGCTTTACATAGATACATAGCACAACACTTACGCAATGCGCCTACGTTTTTCCATACTGAAATGTGTCCACATCACATATAATGTGTCCACAACACACATACATGTGTCTACGCCACAAAGTGTTTGTAACAACACCAGTAATCACGCCAATTTAAGTGTCCACAAAAAATGAATGTTCACTAAAATGTCAAACGTGATCATGTCTGCTATCCTAAATATTGAACTGTTTTCGAAGAAGGAGCAGCCTTCTTCATGACCACCAGGCGGAACTTGTATGATTAAATGAATAATTAATTTCTTGGTTATATTGCACTACTAGCTAAGTTTATATATATATATATATGTGGTCAAAGAAATATTAAACACATACAAAAATGCATGATTTATACTGGTTTACGCTTCCGCCGTGACACGGCCGATAAGTCAGGAAGTAGTAAATAAATATGCGGTTTCATGAGCGAGCTCTGTGCTCAGATTATGTCGCCTCTGAATATATATATATATATATATATATATATACATATATATATATATATATATATATATATATATATATATATATATATATATATATATATATATATATATATATATATATATATATATATATGTATGTATGTATGTATATGGCAGCAGCGCTTTATCTCGCTGAACTTCGTCCACTAACACTTCTATATATATATATATATATATATATATATAGATATATATATATACATATATATATGTATATATATATATAAATAAATATATATATATATATATATATACATATATATATATATATATATATAAATATATATATATATATGTGTGTGTGTGTGTGTGTGTGTGTGTGTGTGTGTGTGTGTGTGTGTGTGTGTGTGTGTGTGTGTGTGTGTGTGTGTGTGTGTGCTTCACCACCGCTGATATGGATGCGATGTTGAGCACAGCCACGACCCAGTGCTTGCGGTGCGCTTGTTCAGCTACATCTCATTGGTTTCCGCGCTGTCAGTTCTACAAAAACAATTATTCCAGCGTCGAACTAGTGATGACAAAACTGAAGCAATAGACTGGGGTGGTATTCATTGTTTCACTGCATTTTCCTATATTTTTTTCTTCCTTAAAAATTTGTTATCTCTTTTTAACCTGTTTTTTTTGCTATGTATTTATTTCAGTTTTACACTCAATCTACCTATATTCATTTTGCTTTATTTTATTTATTTTTCTTTTTGTCAATTCCTCATTTAATGAGGTAGCATTTCAATGGATACACTGGGCTGGATTTTGTCGGCGTCGCTGTCAATCCCCGCATATGTATACGTATCTATATATAAGAAATTGCAAGAAAGAAAAATAATAGAAAAAAGACTCCGGTGCGTGAAATCGAACGTCATACCTTTGCATTGTGAATGCGAGCCATTAGTCTGAGCAAGGAAGAAACACCTAAGAGCAAGCTATTTATATGTACCACTTACCGCTGATGATGCGTATCTCGGGGAAGGAACTATCATGCCATGAACATTACCAGCGAGATGGCGCAAATGGCGTGCATGTCCACATCGCCACGATGCGGCGGAGCGTACACTCATCTCCCATCCGTACTTCTCCCCGCAGAGAGGCAGTGTACACGCTCAGGCGTGCGCTTGCTTATCTCGCACTGGGGACAATCGTACGGCTTGGGCTTTCACCGGAACGATTCTGTTGTAGTTACGGGCACACGAAGTTTCCGTTTACGAAAAGGACGCGCTTTTCAGACACAGCGAAGTAACAACTGAGACGCGTATTTACGTTCATCTGTGCCGGTGAGTACTTTTCGAGCGTCAATTCTGTGTACGAAACGCAGGGCCCGTTTCAATTTGCTTACCATCTGCACGTGACCTTCCAACTTGTCGCTATCGCATTTATTGCTTCGCCTTTGCGGCATAGTTCTGACTTTTTCTTTCCATCTCTTCCTCTCAGTATATTCTTTCTCCTTTAGTGATTATCTTTTCCTCTTTTTCTTCTGTCTTACTCTCTGTCTTTTTATATCTTTGCCATGTCTGTTTCTTTATGTTATTTTCCTTTCTTCTCATTAGAGCTATGTATGCCTGTATTCCCGTTTTGTATCTATCTTTTACTCTCTATCTCTTCCTTCTGCTCAGTTTTTTCCTTTTTCTATCTATCACTTTATTTCACTCTTTTAGTTCTTCATTTTTCGCTCCGTCTTCGGCATATTTTTCACGTACTACATTTCACCAAGCAGTACTTAGTAGGGGGCCTTACCAATTTCTGTATCGCATACCCACCTGTATACTTTCGCACTTAGAACAATTCGCTGATGTATTGAACAACTTTTACCTTACAACAAAACGTCCTTACGTCATGCGCGAGTCCCCAGAGCACCGGCCGTCCCACGAAGACTGCCCGAGCTCCCAGAGCGAGCGCCTTGACCACGTCGGCGCCCGTGCGCACTCCGCTGTCCAGGTACACCTCCATCTTGTCACCCACGGCGGCCACTATCTCGGGAAGGACGTCGATCTGCAGCGGTCACTCATTATGTAGGAATAACAGTGCTTTCTTCATAAAGATCACCCAACAACTAGCCGATGTTCTCTTCTAGTACAATGGTTACGGCAATGGCTTCCGATTATCAGCAGAGCATTGCGTACCGTTACATGCACGCTTGCCTTCCCGTCCAGCGTGAAAGGCTTGGCACGATTGTGTACCTGGATGCTGCCATTTTCACTGCACAACTTATCTGTCATCTGGATTCTGCATTAAGTTGGAATTCTGAGACTATTAACCAACGTGGTGCTTTAAAGGTTATAGTGATAGTCTGCTACACTGAAGGCCATGGGATTTAATCTTGGGACTGCAGCCGCAATATCATAGTAATGAAATACTTGGGCCCCATAATTAAGTTTAGGCGAAGTCTAAATGTTCCTAGGTGATTGAAAATTCCGGCGCTGTCTACTATGGCCATCGTCGTCAAAGTGTCATAACTTTCGTATGTAAAACCCAGAGGCTTAAAATTGTGAGGCGATCACATTTAATCAAACTGTGCTTTTGTGAGACCCAACATTACTAGTGAGAGTTGCCTTAGGCGGTCTGTGGCCCCGCCGCGGTGGTCTAGTGGCTAAGATACTCGGCTGCTGACCCGCAGGTCACGGGTTCGATTCCCGGCTGCGGCGGCTGCATTTCCGATGGAGGCGGAAATGTTGTAGGCCCGTGTGCTCAGATTTGGGCGCACGTTAAAGAACCCCAGGTGGTCGAAATTTCCGGAGCCCTCCACTACGGCGTATCTCATAATCATATGGTGGTTTTGGGACGTTAAACCCCACAAATCAATCAATTAGGCGGTCTGTGGCCTACAAGGTTTCTCACTGTTTCGGCGGTGCAGAGAGGAGGAAGGTTCTCGCTCGCACATGTGGATGCCTATAGTGGGCATTTCTTGTGAAATATTGCGAAACATACAGTGTAACAAATGCTATAGTCACAGAATATATGACTCTGCTATATCGTGTCCCGCGGGAGGCTGCGCAGAAACCACAATGCGGTTATGTAAATAGCGCAGATATCTCTATCTCGCTAAGAAATCTGAACAGGCTTTTCAAATTAGTCCCATTGGTAAACTTCACATTTTGCATTTGTCCCTTCACAAATAACACGAATACGCACGAATACGGCCTGTTGCAGCTGCATCGTGCCACTGGAGCTGTACGTATTCGCAGGGTCACCACGGCTAAAGGTGTGAAGTCAAGTGCATGCTCAATGTCAACACAGGAGCATGTGACACGCAAAGCTATCATCGACGGCCAGCTATACGAACTCGAGGCTCTCCATGCAACCTCGGGAGCCGATTGTGCGTGAATCCAAACCCACGCTCAATCTACATTCGTAGTTGTCTAAGTAGAGTGTACGAGTGAAGTATTGTCATAGAAATACCATGTTAGCAGTCTTCTTTACAAGTTTTTTTGTAGCATGAATATTTATTGATCATATTTCTGATCTCTTGAAATACTGCATGTATTTGGAGTGCTAACCTGAGTCAAGGTCAAGACCCTTATTGTTTTGTAGACGCTCTTTCGATAGTCATTTTGGCCGTTCATACAAGGCTCACTCACCGTAGCTGGAGTTCCGTCCAATTGACGGCCACCATGGTTGGACACAATCACGGCTGCTGCGCCATGCTGATGTGCTGCGAGTGCCGCTTGGGCTGCATTCCAAAAAAAGTGTGAGCACTCCTTGCAGTATCTCTATTGACAGCAACATTTGAATATAGAGCTCGAGATATACATCAGATGGTTGAATGAATGCAATGACATATTGAACGGTGGAGCTGGATGCGCTTGCGTTTTGTCTATGGTCGGCGACCGCTCAAAACTCGGCACGTATGTGCAACAAGAAGAGCAAGCGTAGTGTTCATGGCACATTATAGCAAGAGTGGGAAGGAGAGGTGAGGTTAAGGAGCAGTGGTGCGCGCATGAGGAGTGGAGAGGGTATAAAAAGGCGTAGCCATTCAGAGTAAAATGTAGTAGTGTGGTTGGAAATGGAATCCAGGGTGAAGAGGCAGAGAGGGTAAAACACAGCGTTGCCATGCAGCCAAGTCTTTTTTGGTTATTATAAAAAAATGATAAGCACCCGCCCGTAAATATTTTGGCCTGTGGGATTTATCGAATTCACTCTGATTTTCAAAGCCTATTTTTAACGCTTGATAGACACTTTTGAAGCTAAATGTCATAAATTAGAAGGATTCATGAGTGGCAGTTACTTCGTAAAGTAGCTTGCGTATATTACAGATAGTTGTGTGGTTGTAATACATAGAAACGTAAGAGTTGTATGATGAAGTATCTGTGCTTGCGCGTATTGTTACGCCTGAGAGTCCAGACCAAACGTCATTACCTCTGCAAAGACAATCTCTGTCAAGGCCAGCGAGTGAACCCGCTTGACGGCATCATCTCAATGACGTCATCTAACGCAGTGGAACCGGTGTGTCTTACGAAACGCACGGCGAGCTCTCTACACCCATGGGCCCGATAGCAGCCTGATGATGCAATCAGTGCCATCCAGTCTGGCGAATCCTACACAATGTGTGGCAACATCTCTCGTCCATGTGTCCGACCCAGCGGTGGTTCCTGACTGCAGGATTCTAACATCACAGCCAGTGGCGCTTCTGATTGGACGTTGCTGACGTAAGGGTCACCCGGGGCCTATAAAAAGCCAAGCGGTGTGTGGCCAAGCCACCGACGTATGCGTAAGAGAGAATACATCTTGGCTCTTAAGACCTACTGTGCTGTCGGCCTAGCCGGCGAGCTTGGCAGCTGCGAGTTTCGGAGCAGGGGCGCCATGCGGAACCGTGGCGTCGGAGTTTCGTAACAGTGGATGGCATCAGCGACGTCGATGGGGTAAGTGCCTAATGTTTTCTCCTCAGTTCACCAGACTGCTCTAGCACAGGGTAAAGTAGTTTAGAGAAGAGCTGCGTGGTAGTGGGTCTTCGACATCGTCGCCACCGTGGAGCATCGATATGGCGTTTCATCACGCCTGAGAGGGACTCCCAGTGGACATTGTAATACATAGAAACGTACATTCCAGTGCGCATTGGAGTGGGCTTTGATTGTTTCAAGCCAAGTCGGAGCGCTTTCAAACCAAAGTTAATGTGGAAGGTGTAAACACAGCAGTCATTAAAATTGCTTGTGCGTCTTGCTAGTGGGCTTATACTGGGGTATGGCAAGTAGATTCTTAACAGGGGCAAACCACAAGAGGCTAGTGTGAACGATGGAGAACCTTAAAATGAAGGAACTCATCGAAATGTGCGACAAATGTGGCCTTACTTTGGGTCGTGCGAAACGAAAGCAAGCAATCTTTGAGACCATGAAGGATAAAGGAGTGACGGCTGAGGAATTCGATGAGGCCTGAGCGAATATCAAAGCACGCCGCGAAGAGGCTGAAAGGCGAGAAGTTCGCGAACACGAAGAAGCTGAAAAGCGAGAAGTTTGCAAACGCAAAGAAGCTGAAAAGCGAGAAGTTCGCGAACGCGAGGAAGCTGAAAGGCGCGAAGGTCGCGAGCGTGAGGAGGCCGAAAAACAGGAGCACCTACAGTTTAAAAGAATGGAATTGGCAATACTACAGTGTTCGCAGGCGCCTAGCGTAGCTTCTACGACGGTTCAGGCCAGCGGTGAGAAAAATCGGGACCAACTGTCACCTTTCTTAGTAGGCGAGGACATGGCGAAGTGTCCCGTCAAGTTTTAACACGTCTGTGAGCAAAATGCTTTGGAGCGGTCTCTTTGGGCGCACAACCTGCTAGCCCTACTTCCCGGCAAAGTGTCCAAAGTGATAACGTGCTTGTCGAGGGAAGCGTTTGAGAGCTATGAAGAAGTTAAGAAAGTGCTTTTGACACGTTACTAGTTGTCACCCAAAGCTTTCCAGCAATGGTTCCGGTACGCAAAAAAGGAAAATGAGTCACACGTTGACTTCGCGTTCGCCTTAAAGCCAATTTAATTGAATGGCTGAAGGGCGAAGATGTTTATGACAATCGCGATAAGATGTTAGAATTATTTGCATAAGAGCAATTCTAGCGCTGCATCGGGAATGACGTAAAACTTTGGCGGCAAGACAAGCTTGGCGAAGTACAGCTAAACAAGGCTGCAGAGTTAGCCGAGGAGTATTATACTCGCCTAAAGTTGCATAGCAGGGCAGTGCGCATTGAAAAAGGTGAAAGAGCAGAGGGATTTTCAAAAAATTTTGAGTGAAAACCTATTCTGCAAAGTCATTTTAGGAAGGACCCGTATACGATGGACACTTTAGGGGAAGGGCAAACAGAAGCGGATAAATCGAGTGAGGTTCCTAAACAGCGCACTGATACCACACGGGTGTTTGAATTACGGAAGCCGCTAATCTGCTACAACTGCAAAAACGAAGGACACATCGTGATAAACTGTAAACAAATGTTTGCTTACGCAACAATCCGAGAATCGGAAAAGATCAAGCGTTTGTTAGAGCTGTATCATCAGGAAATTAGTGTGAATGAGAAAACGTGGCGAGCCCTTCGAGACTCAGCGGCAACCATGGATGTTGCGCATCCTTCGTTTGTGTCACCGGATGACTTTAGAGGAGAATGCACCTGGATCAGGCAAGTCACCGAGAAGCACAGTCCTTGCCTACCAATCGCTACGGTCGTCATTGAGGGCCCGTTCGTTGAGCTTCGCACCAAAGCGGCTGTGTGTGCCACGCTTCCCGATCGTTTTTCTTGTCTTTTTCTGAATAACTCTGAACAACTTCTCAAAGAACAGGGCAAATCGTTTTTCCCCAACTTAGCGTACATGGCCCACACGTGATCGCAAGCGCGGAAGCTTTCGCAGGAACTTGATCTTGTTAAATGTAGTGAAACACCACCTGCAAAACTGCTGATCTGCGTGACCAAAGTGGCGAGTCGACGAAACCTCAGACAGGGAATTCTCCGTGGGAGTCAACTCGAGCAGTCATTCGAGCAGTTGCTGAGCTTCATAGATTTACACGTCCCGCATGGCTGCGTATGGCCCCGGAAGCCAGCGCCGCATTCGTATTTCTCGGAGACCAACTGGAAGCTCCGCCACTGGTCCGAGACCGCTCGGACGCACGTTCGTTTTTGCGTGCCGGGCGCCCTACGGGTGGCCTGCGGGCGGCCCAAGACCATATGAACGATTTTTTTCGGGCAGCGTGCAGCCGACAGAACGGGGCGCATGCCAGCGCGGCCATCTTGAGTTAGACATGAAAATTTTTGACGTGCTCTTGCTCTCTTTTTGCTTTTCTGTCCGCTTCTCGCATGTTTCTGGATTTCGCATTGTTTGGGCACCCAGTTCTTGTCATCGGTATTCTGAGCCACGTCGAGGATGTGCGTATTCCCGAAGGTCGGGCAAACACGTGCTATACTCGCTAGGAGAGACAGCGATGGAACGACTGCACCGGTCTACGATGCGCAAGTGCTCGAGTAGTTCACTTACAGTAAGCTGCATCACAACAGAAATAGGTGTAATTCACTGCCTAACTGCTGTTATGGTTGATATTGGGTCAGTGATGTGGCCTGTGTCATTGCTCTGGAGGGAGCAGACGGCATAGCCTGGCATAGCAGACGCCACAGCAGATGCACGCTCATGCGACACTTGTCAGAGAGCGGGGACATCCACGGACAACTGGAAGGCACCCATGAACCTTGCGCCACTTGTCACAGAACCTTTTCGGTGCCTAGTAATTGATATCATCCGGCCATTGCCTGAGCCAAGGCAAGGTTGTCGGTACATTCTGATGGCCCTTTGAGTCGCCACTGAATTTCCAGAAGCGATACCACTTAAGGAGCCCAATTACCCTCATGTCGCAGATGCTCTGCTCTCTATATTTGCACGCGTCGGATTTCGTTCTGAAATCTAACGCGACAACGGTGGTGTCTTCACCAGAAGCCTTACCTACACCTTTTCGGGTAAATGCGCAATAAAAGTAGTCCACAGCTCGATCCATCACTCGAAATCTAATCCGGTAGAGCGTAGGCATTCCGTTCTGAAACGGATACTGAGAGCCCTTTGCTGCGAGCACCACTGCGACTGGTAAGCGTGTATTCCTCCCGCTATTTTCGCTTTGAGATCAGCTCCTCATGAAAGCACTGGTTATAGCCCTGCAGAGCTTGCGTATGACAGAAGTTTGAGAACGCCATTGCGAATGCTACGCGAGTCCGTGGAGGCATTAGATGAGGGCCCTAATGTAGTTGCGTATGTTCTTGACCTCCTTTAGAGGCTTGTAAAAATGAAAGAACTAGTGGAAAGCCACATGAAGGTTGCACAAATGTTGTCGAAGGAGTACTACGACAAATCGGCGAAAAAATGCACCTTTGAAGTGGGTTGTCACGTAATGCGGCTGTGACCATCCAAAAAGAACAAGATTGAGGTTCATTGGGAAGGGCCCGGCAAAGTCATATCGAAGCTCTCTGATACCAATTATGAAGTGAAAATATGAAGGCGACTGAACAAAATTTACCACAGTGGCTTGATAAAACCATATGTTTAACGTCAAGTGGTCGTATATATTCTTTTGAATGCATCAGAGGAAGAAGAAGCAGAACTTTGGACTTCTAGTGATGTAAGCAAAATGGGGTCAGATGTTCTCTTGGTGCCGTTGAAAATGAAGCCTAGGTTAAGTGAAGTCAAGAAGGAGGACTTGAGGATTGTTTCCGACTTTAAAGACGTGCCT